GAGCCCCTCTTGACTTAAGGGGAGATTACCCACAGACAAATATTTCTTGTTTGGTGTTTCTGTGTGCACGTTTTCCAGCGATGCCTGAGCACAAGTAATCATAGGAGAAGAAATCCCGCTGCCAAATGGGCCAACTTGACAGTGGATCAAACAAAGTTGTTTTGTACTCTTTTGACTGAAGACAGCGCAACATGTCAGGTCAGTGGATTGGCAAACCAATCTTAAATCTGCTTCAGTCCATTTTTATGCCTCCTCTTTAATTTGCTCAAACTCTGCTGACTCTTGAGCCCTCTCAAGTCTGCCGCCAGGATGGAGGTTTTTGATAGCTTCTTTTAGATTATTGATTACAAGCTTTTTTTTTCCCATCTGAAAGTGCCCACAGCCTCATTTTCTGAGTGCCTCTCTCGAGTATTTATTGTTGCCTGGTTACAAAATCCATTTTCTTGCCCTTCCATATTTCTTCCTTGAAATTCTCAAATCAAGGAAGGCCAGAAAAGCGACCGCGACAACATACTCACCAGACAGAAATGGCAACATCACGCTCCACGCACAACTCCAGTCACAAGCGTGTTCACAGATGACGGGTTTCTCCTCCACCGCTGACAGAGCTGATATCCGAAGGCCCTTCCTGTTTTTGACTTTGATTGCTTGTTGAAAGGGAAGTGACATTGATGAATGTGCCGGTGTTGCCAAAGTTGAACGGGAAGTTGAACTCCCAAATGAGTGCTCTGTGAGTGGAGCAGCAGGAGGAGGAGGAGGAGAAGGGGGAGGGCTGAGGAGATTTATCGCAGCCAATGCTGAATATCTGCATGTTTGCTGTGTTTGGATAATACATGCTGTCAAATGGACGGGACAATCAAATCAAAAGCTGCACGCGTTTTACTCTGAAGTTAAAAGCTTCCCTGCGTACTCTGAAGTACATAACTGCACAATTTACAATTTTGGGCTTTGATTTCATGTCCATCTATTCGGCCTCTTTATTTTTTTTCCAATCTTTTTTTTTTTTTTTTTCACAATCAAATTTAGACAAATTCTTGACCCAAAACTTTGTGGAAGGTTGTGGCCTGTGCCAACCAAAAGCCTTTATGATTGATTACCGGGAGGTACAAGTGTTGTCTCTTTCCAAATTCGTAGGCTGACTCCTCCAAGGCCTGAATTTGTCGGCCACATGGCGCAACTTCGGGCGAAGCTCGACGACATGCTGGTGACCAAAGTTCCGCACCTTTTGAATCCAGCCTTCAAATTCAGTCTTTGTTTCCATGGAGACGTGCCTTGAGCAAAGGCTCCTCGGAAGCACACTTTAGTAGCCTTCTTTGCTACGTCAAGGTGTTTTGCAAATCTGCATGAATAAGTCAAGCCGTAATAGCCTTGGCTAAGATGAACTTGTTTATCGTGCACATTCGTACGATGCACGTCACATCATGCTGTTACTCATGCACGGACATAAAAGATGATGTACAAGATAATGCACTGCGCTAAAGAATACTCAAACATTTTTATTGGTGTTTAATTTTGTTCTTATTTAATCTTCATCCAAAAGTGTTTTGTTTTCCAACACTAATATGACTAATTTAAAAGGAGTTAATTGATCGGCTCGTTCAAAATGAGCTATGCACCTGAAATGCCTGTTTGATGTCAACCACGGCCATATAAAAACTGTCCTTCGGTTGTGAGTAAACGTGATTTCGCTGACTAATATCCAGAGTAGACGCCACAATATGTTAATGTACCGAAAGTGACATTGCGTTCCATCAAACACACACGATAACCCTCCGTGTGCTAATGTTTGCTTCCTGACACGACTGCCCACATGTCAGACATAAAATCAGACATTAGCCACAACGTGCTTCCTTTTTAGATGCGCATTTATCACCTCCGTGCTGCCATGAAAGGGAGAGTTGCATATTGTGTATGAAGTATTTTGGGTGAAATTTTCGGACTCTGTTGCTAGCACGAGTTAGCTATGACACGGCATTACCCACAATGCTTTCGTTTACATCACGGTTGTAAATCCCTGCTTACGTGTTCTAATTTTATGATCCCGTGGGGACAAATGATTGAACTTACAAGGTATATTGCGAGTGTCAATATTAACTGCTGTGAACGTACGTTCCTATTACCTGTTACCAATGTCGCAACTATTTTGCGGTATGATTTAATTGGGGGGAAATTGGATGGATTGGCTCCTAGCAGTGTTTCTTTAAGGTGTCAGACACAGCAAGCACGAGGTAATTATGGAGACGGAAGAGATAAGGAAACAGAACGCAATTACGCTGGCAAGCAGAGCTTCAAATTGCTCCTCTTAGAATTTCTCACCTCCGGTTGCTATTGTTCACGCATTGCATCTCCATTCTGATCTTTTATTCCTTTCACCCTCGAGCTCAAAGACAAGGAGAAGTTTGCATTAATCAGATACATTTCTCCAGCCTTGCTCGGCACTGAATATGGGCTGTGAGTGAGCACCTAATATATTGAATGTCTTCTGATATATGGCAAATGATATGCGTATACAGTATAAACTGCTCTGTGCTCAGTCTGTCTCGGAGCCATAGCATTTTTTAATGCCGTACTGGATTTCATCTCTGCAGCTTTACTACACCGTCTGAATTTCTACTTTACTCTACATGCAGCTTTGATGGGAAAGGTTCAGATTGATTGTCGTAGATTTCTTTTGGCATGCACTTTGGTTTACCATCAAGTGTCAGGCAGATTTTTTTCAGGGGCAACATTTTAGTGACGTGCCATTTCAGACTAAATATCGACAGCGTAGCGGAAAACAATGTTGTCAAAACATTTTTGTTGTTTGGTTTTTCAGTCTTCTTCAAAAAAGATTTTTGAATATTCATTTATCTTTGGTAACAGTGAAGAGGGAGGATCTAAATAAGTTTGACTTCATCCTACACCTTTTTGGACGAGCATTACATGTTCCTTTCATTTGGGATATTTATACTGTAGATGTATTATTTATTTATTGGCGGGGGGGGGGGGGGGGGGGCAATGACTGCCAGAGGTGGGCAAGTCATTCCGTCAGTCGTCCTTCTGTCATTATTTCAGGCCGTCAATGAATGAACGAACTTTTTTTTGGTCGCTTAACGCTTTCAATCTGAATCAGTTATGAGTTACAGGCAGAACATTTGACTGTTTTACAATACTTTGTCCTTTTGCATTTATTAAATCGAACAATTTGCAAAAACAAATTGCGTGGTGGGGTGTTTGAATGTCATTACCTTGCGTCTTACGTTACAATGTGTAAAAAAAAAAAAGACAAACATTGTATTTATTTATTGAGTTTAAAAGAGCTTTTATCAGCCTATTAAATAGGCAGGCAGATCAATCCATCGGGCGCTTTAAGTTAACAGCGTTATTATGTCACAGGCTGGCAAAATTCACAGCGGCTCCCTCACAGACACATTTATAGAAACGGCAAACAAAAGATTTACCTGGTTGTTTGGGTTTATACTTGGTGGGTAGTCTGGCACTCCAGAGACAACTATTTGTCTGCAAGCAATTAAATTCTCTCAGTTGTAACAGTGCTCCTTGCACTTTAATGAGCGATGAATATGTTAAAAGGTTACTTAAATATTGCTGTCATGTTAATACAAGTTTTGTATTTGTGCTTTCAAGAATAACCTCGGCGTGTTTGACCTGAGCGGTTCCACTGAAATTTGTAGTTTGGTCGAGCCTACAGTATGTGGAAGACATGGGCAGTTTTGTGATGTACCACTAAATATATTTATCTTTTATCTCATTTGACATTTTAAGAGCAAAAAACAATGTTGGTATGGTGCTGATTTGAGGGAGGAAGATTCCTTTTGCTTCCCTTGTCAAATCCAGTGAGTGTCCATCTTGTTACTTGAGGTCACTTTACAGTGACAGTCAGCCATATACAAAAGGCAGTCAAAAAGTACTGATCCCAATTTTATTTAAACTACTACTCATTGCATTTTTTTCCTGAAATATTCACATTTTTTTTTAATTTAAATGTTTATTTAATGTCATTATTGGATGCCTGTCATAGGACAGATCCTGTGATCGTGCAAGACCAAGCAGAGCCTCTATTATTGATTGATTGATTGATGTATTGATTGATTGCAAAATCAACGTATTTTCTTAATATCTCCAACCTGTGCAAGCAAGCCCTTCACTTAATTGCTATCGAGGTTTGATGGTCAGATAGGTGCCACTTAGTCAAGCTCCCGCCAACTCATGTCTGGAGCTGAAAACGATCACAACAGACAGCTCAAGTGTATGTGAAATGCGGGAGTGTCACAAAGTGCTTTTATGCAAATGGCAATTGGAGAGCGACACTCCATTGAGACTGAAATATACAGCCGGTGTGTAGACGCTGCATTATCGGTCTGGCTGATGTGTCCTCTGAGGCTCCCCGCAATGTTTTGTGTTGATATGAAAGGTTCAAAACCTTTGTGGAAAAAGACCCCCGAGAGGAAAGATCAGATAGGGGATACGGGGAGATCCCTTCAGCAAGTGGCGAGAAAGTAGGACAGGAGGCCAGTGATCAAGATGAAGAAAATAGATCCGGATTGGATTGTCAATATAAGGTTAAAGGATAATGAAAACTTGTCTCCCAAATATGAACTCAGCACTCTTGACAAGATGGAATCGTATTATCAGAGATTTGTCCCAATCTTGTTTGGTGACCACGGTCTTTTCGCAATAAAGCCACTTTTGGATTGTATTCCTGAGATTTAATTATCTGCACATTGTAACTTTCGAGGAGCTGGATAGGCTGAGTAGTTTATCTGCTGTGTGTGTGGTTTTTTTTTTTTTTTTTTTTGCATTTCTGTATTTCATCCCAAGTGTTTTTTTTCCTCCTTTCAAACGACACCGGTGATGCCTGCAGGCTCTTCTCATTTTCCTCAGTTAACAAGCACTCTGTTTGTGTAATATTAGAGTTTTCCACTTGTTCATTTTCCACTGATTTCCAAATGGCATGGCTCGATTTGTGCAAAAGGGACAAAATGCATCTTTTTGCTTCGCAGCTCTGCCAGTCATGGAGGTGACAATCGAAATCACCAGGCAGCAGGTGGAGAAGATCTTCGGCCTCGATGAATACTGGTGTCAGTGTGTCGCCTGGAGCACCACAGGAACCCAGAAGAGCCAAAAAGCGTACATCAGGATTGCTTGTGAGTGCACTTTCAAACTATTCTAGTGCAAGTCCAACACAATGTGTTCTGTGAGGCTGGTTGACTTTCAAGTTGGTCAAATAATAAATAAATGAATTTGTTTTCTCCAAAAGATCTTAGGCCAAGCATTGCGGTTCGTTGTTTGTTAAAACAATAGTGATGAATGCACACGCATTAGTGGTGGTTGGGAAGTGACGTACACATTTTTCGCCCCGGAAAAATAATATTCTTTGTTGACAAGCTTCTGCGGCCATTTGATCCTGGTCATTAACCAGGATGATTTCACCAGCAGCCTGTTCACGTAAACCTCTGCTTGGCAAATTTGTAATTGCTATCGAGCAAAATTTGTCTTACGCTCATTGGGGCCCTTTTGTGGTCGCAATCCAAAAAAAAAAAAAAAAAAAAAAAAATCTGAAGTCTGACAATATTTGCAAATGTCTTGAATGAGATTGTGGTTTGACCTTGGGTTTTGTTTGACTTTCTGGATGGATTTTTCCCCAGAAATCTTTGGCTGAACTCCAACATGCATAACGTTTGGGGCGTTTGACTTTGGAGGTTCCACTGTACCATGATATTATGCATGGGAATCTGCAGAAGAGGACACTGCATATAACTTAATGGGATGGAATAAGAGCATAATAATCCCCATTGTGTTATTAGTGACCTCTATCTCCTCATGCTTCCTCCTGCAGCGGCTCTTCCACCTTTTAGGAAGGGGTGTTTTAAAAAGCGCCACACTAAATTGGGAGTATTCATGACCTTTTTTTTTCCCCCCCCCCACGAAATAGACTGTATCAGCAATGATCCAGATAAAAGCAGCTGAGTAAAAACAGATTCTAAATTTATTGCAATGTACCAACCATAAATCTGTCTGGGGGACACAGGCGCATCCTCTGCGGCAACCTCAAAGCTTTATTAGAGGAAGCCCTTTTCCGTTTGAGTGTTTTCACGCATTCTGTCTGTTAATTGCCACATAAATATGCATTATTCTAGACAACAACCCCCCACCCCCTCTGCGCCGGCCCCCCATAACAGGACCTTCATAAGACAGGCTTCATCATTGAACCCTGTTCGAGGGTTCAGGCAGTCGTTAGAGCCAAACGATTTTGAAAAAGAATCAAGTCGTTGGAGGTTTGTTTTTTCTTTCGCCTCAATATTGTAATTGTGATTCAGTATGTGATTATTACATGAACCTCTTCTGTATTTTTGAACAAATACAAGCAATAAGTGAATCCGTACTGTATTACAATAAGCAAGGTCAATTCATTGTATAAAAATGTTCTGGTCTTGGCTTGCACTGCAATAAAGGCCAATGAACCATGAACTAATATGAAAGTTTATCTTTTTCAAGTTGAGTTGTTAACTGACTAAAATTTTGGACATGCAGTCTTTTGAGCGTTCACAAAGTTCTAGCAAACACGTGTGGCGTGAACAAAGAGTAAATCGGTAACTCTTAAGTCAGATTTCCACGATAATGCAAACAAATCCGGCTTTACCTCTTCACATTTTCATGTTTCATGAAACGATATGTAAACATGATTTCTCACGCACTGAACTTTACACACTAATTAAATAAATAAATCAAATATACATATATGTTAAAAAATATAAATAAATGATAATAAAGTCGCCCAAAATGAAAGTTTATTTTTTTTGCCGCCCAAATTTCAGTCGATGAAAATTGCACCGTACTACATTGTGATGTCAATTTGAATTGAAGTGTTCAGCCCTAATTATTACATAAGGCGATAACACGTCCGCATAAGCTCCGTGTTCATTTTCCTTACGTCTCTTGCGTGTGCTTACATGTCACTTCTTGTGCGTGCGCTTGACTCCGTTTGCGAAAACACTCCGTCTCAACGCTCCTCTGAGGACAGGCTCTCCCATTAGTTAAAAGGAATTCACCATTCAACAGCTCGCAGCCGCGCCCTGTGCCCCCTCGCGTCACGGCAACACATCGATTCACTCTGAGTGCAAACCCGGGGCGGACACATCAAATTAGTGCCAGGCTGCTAGCTATCAGTGGCCTGTCTGGCTCATCAGATGTAAATCGGCCTTACCCAGAAAAGAATGAGCGATGCCAGCTCAACCTGTATGTGTAACGTTCTGCCTGACTCATGGGCACATATATCGCAACGCTGATTGCAACAGCGAAAATATTCAATGAGTTGAAATGCGAAGCCTCATGCAGTCAGCCAAGCTTGCGGGAGCTCTTGTCCAGGTGCCTCTGGGCTTTGTTTTCGTGTGGCTGCTCCAAGCCCTCTTACAGATGGAAGCTGCAGGCAGGCGGCTGCCGGAGAGAGTGGGTGGCACGCGAGGGAGGAGGGACGGAGTGAGCGGTAGCTAATGCAATTGCTTTTGCTTGATGCCGGGCCCCTCTGGCAGCAAGACAAGCATCTCTGAAGCAGCCAGGCAGGCTGCAATAAGCAACATGGTTGGTGCCACCAATCCCTGCGTGGCTTCGGGGGCCAACTGGAGTGCGACGCGCTCGCGAACATTTCGAGATTTAGCTTGCCGGAGCTTTCCTTTACACAGCGCATGCAGTTACAAATAGCCTAATTGGTTGCCTTTTCTTTGTGCTCTCTCCTCAAGACTTGAGAAAGAACTTTGAGCAGGAGCCTCAGGCTAAAGAGGTGGCATTGGACCAGGAGGTGTCACTGCGCTGCCATCCCCCCGAGGGAGTGCCACAACCCGAGGTGAGAATATATGGGAGATATTTATAGGCCCGCTTCTCGCATCCATTTAGCCTTTCTTCACCGGGAGGACAAAGGGCAAATGGAGGCTCAGTGATCATCTCCCTGGCATCTCTCCGGCTTTCACCGCAGAGCGGACAGCCCCTATGGATAAATTACACCTCTAATTACCAGCTTTTATTGATTTATTATCCTTCCCACATCTCTAAGTTGCTATATATCACATGGGCTCGTCATATCACCGGGATAAGCTGGGAGGCTTCACTCTGCGTTTGGCATTTCTAAAGGCCCATCTATAATTAATGGCTCAGTTTTCCTCACTTTTTTTTTTCCTGGTCTCTTTGCTCGCTCTCGTACATACTTGGTCTGTTCAAGTCACGTTGTCCAGCTGTAACACTGGTGCGTGTCAGTGTTTCACTGACCTGGCTGTTGACATCTTCTAGCAAATAGTATATCTGTCATCGCGGTAAGCTTTGGAAAGGTAAGAACAAATATCGAATGCAGGGAAAATGATGTTGTGGGTACTAGCCGAGAGAGTGCCTCGCACATTTTCCAACCATTCAAGATGTCTTTTTTCCACATGGATATCTTACTGCTAGAATACAGTAATGTTACTTTCATTGGTTTGGAGAATCTCTCAATGCCTGGGCTGGGCAATGTGGTTTTGAAAAAATTGTTGTTTTCTTGTCACTAAAATCTAGCATTTTTTCCCCCTTCATGTGTAGGAAAGGCAAATGACAATGACATTATTCAAAACAAGTTTTGTCTTTTGTTGTTTCTTTCCCCGCTGAGATTTGCTTTCTCCCAGTCAAGGTTATTATGGATTGAAAACAAAATGATGAAAACAAAAATGGAAAAAATATTTGACAATAAAAACTGAAGGCTCGGTTACAAATGACATTTTTTACATTTATAAAATCAACACATTAATAAAAGCAACGAAAACTATTACACAGTACTTGCTGACCTTTTTTTTTTTAATCCTGCACTCACTCGGTTCTAATAAACTAACATGAAAACTTATAAAAACGAAAATAAAAAAGAAGTATTTAATAAAATGAAAACGAAAAACGTGTTCTCAAAAATTATTCATACTAAGTGAATTAAAAAAATGATTCAAACTGAAATTAAAAACTAACTATAATGAGAAATCCTAAATTATTATTACCCTGCCCTAAACACACACACACACACACACACACACACACACACACACACACACACACACACAAAACAGGCTTTGAAACACTTCCACCCCAGCATTAACTTGTTTCAACTTCCATAAAAATACTCAAAATAAAACAATTTCTTCTCATGTAATTTGTATCCTTAAAAATTCTTACATAACATAATGAACCACCAAACTACATAGCTCAGCTGGATATGTTGCAGTCCCAGCAATCGGCATATTCACAAATATATATCGCTGTTATCTACCAACTATTTTTGCAAGCTTTTTCAGCCATTTCACCCATGATTTTTTTTTTTCCTTCAATATCCAGAACAATCACAGCTACGGTTGAACGGGTGATTTCCGTCACAAAATGTGGACAATCCGTAACGTGTGGCAGCCCTACAAATGGTAAAATGGTGAACTGAACCTGAGTTTGGTAACTTGTCTCACTTTTAAACAAAGGGAAGGTCAAAAATTGTTCTAATGACTGCATAGGTTGTGCGAGCCATTCAGACCACCCGGGGACCGCAAACAGCCAACTAGTCAATCACAGTTGGACAGTGTGGGGACAGCTTGCAGAGAAGTAGGAAGGAAAGTGCCAGCCCACAGCTCGACAAAAAAAGGGCATCAGAGCAGAAGTCACCACAGGAGAACATAAGGGGCGCGCAGACGAAAAAGAGAGCCCAATTATGTGCATCACATGGGGCAATAATACCGACAACAGTGTTGCAGCACCCTCAAGAAGGCAGAAGGTCAAATGAGACTAAGAAAACAACCAAGGAAATCCGAGAGTGCAAAAAGAACTGAAATTTAAAAAGCATTCCGAATTTGTACAGTGCCGCAGAGATCTCCAGCTGTTACAAAATGAAAGACAAAATACTTTTATCAGCCAGGTGTATAAAGAGATGAATTTCATCAAAATAACGTTTAGGGATAACATCAACACAAAAGAAAGCTCACTGTGCCTCCCGTTTACGGCTCTGTGGCTCTTACCGTGCGTGGCTGGTGCAGCGTGTTGGGATCAGTTGCACTTTTCAACCAATCAAACTCTCTTTTAGGTGGAGTGGCAGAGGAACGAGGATGTGATCGACCCACAGAGCGACCCCAATTTCTTCATCACGGCCGACCACAATCTTGTCATCAAGAAGGCCCGGCTGGCTGACACGGGCAACTACACGTGCGTGGCCAAGAACATCGTCGCTCGCCGCAAAAGCAACTCTGCCACAGTCCTGATCTATGGTAGGTGGACACTCATCTTCAAAGGATAGACTGTTTGGATGACTGGGATTCGTCTCATGGGTCACATAGGAATACTGTAATATTTGGTCTATGAAGTGCTCTGGTATATAACTCACATCTGCAACGTTAAAAAAAAAAAAACCCTGATGTATAAACTTTACTTAAACAAAAGTATGATGTATTTTAAACGACTTCTCTTATACATACCACTGCAACAGAAAACAAAGAAACAAACAAGCACAAAAAAGTGCAAAAAGCCACAACAAAACTTTGCAACCATAAATAGGGTTCAGATTGCTGTATTTATTCAACATTGTCCTGCTCACCAAACCCTCTGAAGTCTTTGTCATCGCCTGTTTTTCAGCATGATGAGGTTCCGCGCTTGAGCAGAGTTGCTCAGATTTCCAATCTGAATGGTTTCATGTATGCCGTTTTTTTTGGGGTTTTTTTTTTTTATGTTCGCAGTAAACACTTCAGCATAGAGCTCAGCAGAAAATTCATGAGGACGTTAAAGAGAAGCCAGGTATACTGTATGTGCAAGCATGTTGCCCCTGGGATAGGGAACATTTGCAAATAAGGTGTGTCGTTCAACCAAAGAGGTTAAAGCCGGGGGCAGGGGGAACTTGCGTCTTCTAATCCCAATTGTTCAACAATAACAATATGCAGTAGTATGCTCATGTGACACTGTTAATATTAGACTATTGTCAAGTTCTGTGTGGACTCAATAGGAAGGCTCACAAAATGCAGTGAATTTTTCAACACTGGAAACTTTCCATGGGAATTAAACAGACCATTAGAATTATCCCAATGTGTAATTTGCCCATGTTTGGATTAATTTAAAAGTTTTGTGTAATTCCAGAACCACAATGTACTTTCTAATAGGTTGAGAGTAATCATGACTCAGCCATGTGTTCATTGGATCTTTTGTTTAAAGACAAATCAGTGTACACATGACCCTTTGATGGGGTTAACAATGTGATAGGATGAAGTGGATGGCCAATTCTTAATATTCTGGCAGCTCGGAGGTGAACGCAAAGAGTTCACTTTCCCAAAGCGTGCGGGCCCGATATGTTTGGAGAAATCAAATCAACTGTAAGTCATGTTGCGTCTTGTTTAGCTTGACTGACCTTTTCATTCAAATGCAGCAAAGAAAAGTCATTACTGGATTTTTATAGAATTTCCTTTAATTACATCTTAATTTGAACTGCAAGACACTATAAACAGGTTTGTTGTTGACATGACACACTACTGTATATGCCGCAAATGAAGTATGCCATAGCAGGGAATGCGTTCAATCGCTTTTAGCCTTTCATTGGATTTAAAATGCATCAAAAACATTTGTCTTTGGCTTCCGCAATATTTGACTGCGACCGTGAGTTTATGTTTGTAAATGTGTTTTGAACAAACGGCAGCTACCTTGTTAGTAGTCACATCCCCTGTGAAATAACGCTGTTGGTGGGAATTTACTCGCCAAAATTGAATATGTGATGCAGTTCTCATGCTCAGGTTGTTGAGACTTGAAGATCAATTACCGTTTAACATTGTGGCTCTGCTGCCTTTTTCTGCTCGCAGTCTCAGTAGATTGAAGGCTGTTGAAGTAAAATGGAGAAAAAAAAAATGTGGCAAGCAAAAAAAAAAAACAAAAACAAAAAAACAAACAAAAAGTTGGGGGCACACTATGTCTAACACAGTGAGTTTGGATAGTTTAAAAATATGCTTCCTTCAAATGAGTTGAGATTTTGGACAAACTAGTTAATTATGGAAACAGCACACCTTTCATTCCAGTATATAAGTATCCATCCAGCCATCCATTTTCCGATCCGCTTCATCCTCACAAGGGTCGCGGGGGTGCTGGAACCTATCCCAGCTGTCTTCGGGCAGTAAGCGGGGGACACCTTGAACGGTTGCCAGCCAATTACAGGGCACACACAGACGAACACCCACACCAGGGGACAATTTAGAGTGTTCAATCAGCCTGCCATGCATGTTTTTGGAATGTGGGAGGAAACCGGAGTACCCGGAGAAAACCCACGCAAGCACGGGGAGAACATGCAAACCCCACACAGGGAGGCCGGAGCTGGAATTGAACTCGGTACCTCTGCACTGGAAGGTCGACGCGCTAACCACTGCCGCCGTATAAAAGTATTTAGAATGCAATCAATAATCCAGAAATATGCACATCAAAATACAATAGACTAGTTTTTGACTAAACCACCTTGACTAAACCTCCTAAAGAAAGGCAGTGTTTTGACCATGTACTGTAGCTGTGTTGTGCATCTGCATTTTAAAGTGAACTGTCAAGCCGCTCGGCAGTGGAGAAGATGAAACTTTGCGTATCCAGTGTTTAGACATTGAAGGTGGGATAATGGTGTCTTTGACAAACAATAATTCTCATTTAAGTACTGTATCTGCAAAATTGCCAACAGATTGCTTTGTGGCGTGCACGTTTATTTCCTCCCTCCATTCACTGTGTTTGAAAAGATGACAAATTAATCACTTGTTGTGGATTGAATTGAGGCTAAATCATAAGCAAAGCTCTCTCGTTTCCTTTTCGCTGCTCACCTACTGTGCCTCAGAAGAACAAACCGTGTGTCCGCCATGCTAGTTGATCTAGCTAGCTGCAGTGGGTCATAATAACGGCTACATTTCAAAGGGTTCAACAGAGGGCCAGAAATGCATTTTATCACAGCCTGGCTGGTAAGACTGCATTCTGTGCTAAGAGGTAATCAGGGCTTGTGTTGCCTGGCAATTTACCTCGCTGTGGCGGGCAATCAGTCGCATCGAGAGGACAAGGAAATGATTCAGTCACGACAAGCCCAGGCGAAAGTTAAGAGGGGCAAATTGGGGGCGGGGTGAGTGTCCAGAGAAGGAAAAATGGCGCTGTTCAAGTCAATACATCAGGATCAGGACCACTGTATCATCGGAGATGAAACAAGCACAGTTAGATGCAGGGAGGTGCAGATTAGAAGATAGTTTGATGCAATTACTTGCCATCAACGGCGGAGCGCCGGTGATGTGCCGACAACTGGTGCGGCTGAAGAACACGAGCACTCGCTGGTTCATCAGGACGAGCTGTAATGACTTGAGCTAGATTGTGCTGCACTTTGCAATTGCAATTGGGGTAAAGTAATGACAGGGCTCCGCTCTATAATTCACACAACATGATGCATGACGGGAAATGGGGCAATCGGGGATGTTTGATCGCCACAATCCTAATGACTTGCACTGCCGTGATGTATGAGGCACCGATGCCCGCTTCAATTCTGAGTTGCATTTTCCCGTGTACAAAGTTTGTTTTCCTTAGTCTTTGTCTGCAGTGGTGCCAGGGTTACTTTGAAAAAGTAACCAGTTACTTCACTAATTGGTTGATTGAAAACATGTCTTAGTTACATTACTGATTACTTGATTTTAAAAGTAACAGATTACATGTTGCTTTAGCCGCTACATTCAGGATATGCATTGAAAGTGTAATTTTAACAGTGACAAAGAATAGTTTAAAATAAAATAATGGTCGAACATAACATGATTAATTTTATTTAAAAAAAACAAGTCTTTCTCAATGTCACTAACCATAAATGGGCTTCTTGTTTTTATGTAAAAATAAATGAATAAAGGTCTTTCTGCATGTCACTTAAATTGTTTTTTTAATGAAATGTTAATAATAAAAGGATTCCTTTTTTTCCTGACATTTAACTGGTGTCATAAGAAACTTAACATTTACATGACGTTACATTGTTTATAGTCGAGGGTGAACAGCAAGTTTGAAAAAAAACGATACTCAAGCACCAATTCACTATATCGACACAAGTAACTATATTTACTCTACAGTAGACCCCCACCACAGCGAAAATTCATTGGTTAAAAGCAAAAAATTTAAAACCACCAGTCGCGCCCCCCAGAATAGCTCAACTCACGCAGTATATCGCGTACCCTCGTTTGGCATCGTTTGCCGTCTGTCAGCAATGGAGCGATTTCCGTGTTGGTTCAAGCAACACGCCTTCCTCCTGGTTTCATCTGTGATTGGCTGAATTTGCGTGGCCAGAAGTTCACGTAACTTGCGCTGCGTGATGAAAGCTATTTTGAATAAACAGATTAAATAGATAACATGCATACTGTAGGTAGTGTGTTTGTGTGTTTTGATGTACATCAAAACACACAAACACAATTACTTTGTGACTCGATGGTCGACGGTGCGGAGGCGGAACTCCCGCCTCCCAGCGCAAAGGCTTTCCGCTCACCTGACACGCGACAAGGCTGAAAATAGATTAGCTTTTGGGCTCGCATATACACTAAGGCAGCACAGAACCACCATGGACTGAATGAGGCTGCGTTTGACATAATGTCTTTTTTTCGCAGATCCGGTCAATGACGTCATTGATGGATTGTGCCAATTTTGACATTACAGTCAATCTGCCATTTTGCATCAAATGCAAAATATCGACCGATCTTGATTCAGTCCATCAGATCGATGCAAAGTCTAGTTTCGAATATAACGATTACATTTGGAAACCTCATGCAGCCACTCAACCTGGTGGGACTTCAATTCATCCTGAGCTGCAATCCATGCCTTTTTTTTTTATGTCGTGTTTTTTTAAGATAACTGTGCCAGCAGCACTGAGTGTACAACAAACGTTAATATTTCCATCTGTACCTGACTGACACAAACTCAAAATATTGACTGTATTTCCAGCTTGAAAACCTGAATGTCTCTGCTTCCTCTATTGTTGTTTTTGTCGTATAGTATAGCCAAGTGAATTGTCAATGTGCTGAAGATGTGACATGGCGCATATGCGATTCACCCAGGCGAGAATGTGAAGCTGCAGGCTCCCACAGTGGCTCACTATTTTCAAACTGTAAATCCGAGAGTTCCCCTTTTGTTACCTGTTTCACAATGTACGGGTTGTTGGTTGAGTCCCTTTTAGCGAGTAATAGGGAGTTAGGAATAGGGAGTCTTCCTGTATTTTATTATACGTTAACTATTAGTGACTGTAACTGCCTTTTGTGGTGAAAGACACTGATCACTGAAGTTGACTGGGGAATGGAACACGTTAATATTAGTAGTTACTGGAAAAAACATGCACATATTAGAGTAACACGTGACTAAGTAAGAGTGTCACTGTTTGTTTGGCTTTGGCAATTTGACTGTGCATAATCTTAACATATTGTTTCTCATGTCTTTGGATTAATCGGGTTAGGATATGGTCATCTTAATGTAGTCGTATCTGCACTTCAGGTGGCTGTAGTACAACTTCAAGTGCAGGAATCAGCCACCCTCTCTCAAACTTCCGTTTGAACCGCTGCAGCACTCACGATTATTCTCGGAACACGCCCGTCTGGTCCTTAGTGCATGTCGGGTAATCCTGGCTGCTCTGTCCCCTCATCCCATCCTCCCTTCCAACCTTCTCCCAACCCCTAACCCCACCAAACCATGCCCCTCCTTGCGCCGGTCTGACAGTCAACGGCGGCTGGTCCACGTGGACCACCTGGTCATCCTGCAGTGCTGTGTGTGGGCGAGGCTGGCAGAAGAGGAGTCGGAGCTGCACCAACCCCACGCCACTGAACGGAGGCACGTCCTGTGAGGGGCAGAACGTCCAGAAAAGTGCCTGTGTGGCCACCTGTCCAGGTAACTCCCAGGCAAACCCCTGCTTGTCCTGTGGCACTTGGCTTCCTATGGCTTTCTTTTTGCATTTTTTTGCATCCAGAAGTCATTTGCTCATCTTTATGTTGGCCCACATCTCCCCTCGAATGGTTCTGTTTCTCTTGCATTCAGCAATTAAACGTACACTATCATTTTTAGTCCTTATTAGTCGTCACAGTCTCGAAAGTGATTTATCATCCCACTTTGTCCACATATCTCATTATATTTTATGAAGACCCTGCTCTTATTTCATAGAGCTCTCTGATTTAAGAGACATAGTCCCAGCCAGCCATGCTGCTGTGTCAGACCAGCTACTACATTTGTTATTGTTTGCAGCTGAAGCTCTGTAGTAAATATGGACAATAAAAGCGTGAATTATGGTGGCCTGAGTGCTATGTTTACGTCGTAAGAGTCGAGGGGCGTTTCGTTTCCCTGCTCAGTCTCTCGTGAGAGAATCCAAGAGGCAGGGAGTGCCTTGCCTGATACTGAGCAACGGATATCGATCCTCTGTAGCCTGAGATGCAGCTTGCTGCATTTGCAGTCCTACATTAGCCCCGTGACGAAGAGCCAGAGATAGCATGACAGCGGGCGAGCTGCATATGAGGTTAAAGGTGAAAGGAGTAAGATGAAAGTGAATACAGGCGCAAAACGCAGCGTGAGCGTGAAGAGGAAAACGTACAAACCGGCAATGGCGGTTGTGCTGCCTGCGCATCATCAAACAGCGGAACTGCAGGAGAAATCTTCCATGCTTAAAAAGCACTGAGGGAAATGCTACACTTCTGTCGGCAGCAGCCTCCCTCATGCTAAAACAGAGGTTATTTTCCGATGTGAATCAAGGTATCGTGTTGCACATCGCTCATGTAAAGACATCACCAGATGTCAAGCGCAAGTGGAAGTAACCTAACCCGGCAAGTGGATGGAGGCACACTATGCTCATTCAGGGTGATATCTGGATGCATCTGGTACTATTAGCTCTCAAGCAAACGGTAATTAAATTAAATTCAATTGAATGGGTTGTCCAGGGATGCTTGACATTCCCCTGTAGCAAAAGCACAATACTGACCTCCATGAGCATGAACAGATTAATGTCAGTCCTGCTGTTGTTAGACCAAAACCTCCTCTCGTCTCTCGCTCCATAAAGGCAACGTGTATAACTTTAGCTTTCCAGTGCTGCGGCAGAAAATTCAACGTGCTTCGTGAACATAGTTTATGGCGAAAACACAGTTTTAGTTTACAGTGGAATCGTAGAAGTCAATCCATTCTGTGGCGCCGGTTGACTTGCAAGTTGTTCTCTAATTCAAAACGGTTTTTCCATATGATCAAGTAAAATGAATTTGTCACAAGCTCAAAGTGTCAGAAACACAATCTTTAACACCTGTACAGGCAATGAATTAAATAACATTTTTGGCTATCATATAAAAGCTTTTGTGTGAAAGTTGTCAGAGTGACGACTCGCTTGACTTATCTTCCAGACTGAAGGAAGGCCTGAGGCCAGTTTTTATTGCCATCACATTCCGTTGCCACCATCACCAACACAAAATCATCCTGAAATTATGTTTGATGGCTAATTAAAGATGCTAAAAACCCGCTAATTAGTAACGCTGCCATTTTATAACATCCCAGTCGCCACCGTTAGCGACTAGTGACTAGCAGCTAGCTACTACCCACGAGCAGCGAGTATAAGTTGGCAACAGTCGTCAGACTACTTTTCAGATGTAGTTTAATAGGCGAAAAGTACTTTGTGCTGACAGTTTGACACATTTGCGGTTCCTGCCAACCCATTTTTGGCAAACCGGACATTGTCAAATGTGGCATCATTTCTTTCCAGAGCCCACTATCTCGCCTACTGTTTCTTGACAAGAATATAGTTTGCGGCTATGCACACCTTAAATTCTCAACTCAACTGTATTTATAGAGCACTTTCAAACAGCCATCGCTGCATACAAAGTGCTGTACATGGAGCAACTAACATACACTGTATACAACAATAAATCAATAAATAAGTAAAAAAGATGGTAGAAAGCACCAAACAGTAAAACTAAGATCGAATCTAAGTCATGCTACGTCAAATGCCAAAGAATAAAGTGCATTTTTTGGTTTGGGTTTTTTTTTTTTTTTTTTTTTTACTTACTTTCATTTAAATATTAAATGTAAGTTAAAACAATAATTGATTGTCGAAAAAAGAAAAAACTACTGTCTTATCTCTCTTGTATTCCAAGGCTCAAAATAAGTGGTATTGCAGCTGATAGCTGCAGTCCTCCTTTGGTTGCCGATGCAATTGTCTGCTTTGCCATCACTGGTATCCTTCTAGTTTTGAATGACACAAAAAACACAAACGAAATGCAAAAGAAAAAGCAAAACATTGGTGAAGTTAATCCTTTAGATGCTCACTGAGTCGTTTCGCATTTGACCTTTGGATGTTCCACTGTATTGTGAGAAAACAACAAGGTTCGCTCTCAGGTGCCTGTCAATCTTTTGGTCTTGCAACAGCGGGTGACCTAGGTGTCTTTCCCACTTCCTGTGTTACCTGTGTCAGTGGCTCAGACAAGTCCAGCTGTCAGCACCTGATGCAGGGTCCCCTCAAGGCCAAAGTCTGACACAGCAGAGCCATGGACATGATAAGTTTGTTCTTTCCAATTAGAAGTGGCACCGCTGCTTGCCTGTGTACTCACGAATGTGTCTCCTAAGTCGGCAGGGATGAAGTGACTGCTCAGTCATTTGTCAGAAGGCTCACGCACAGCCCAGCAGCGACAAACCCAAATACATCGGAATCCTCACTTTTGATTTATCAAACACACGACCAAGGCATCCAAGAATCGCCCGCGCTGACATACCAAAGGAGGCATGTCAAAGTCACGTTCAGCGACATGGAGAGCATGCAAGCGTTCTTATTTGGTGTGCTTGGACAAGGATTTATTTTTTTTTACCATTCTGATAGCTTTCTCCTGAGAGTCCTCTTACAGGAGTGCAGTTGCCGTCATTTCTCAAGAAAAAGCAACAATTTCCAAAAATGTACGTTGTTATTCATTTCTGCTCAAACATAGTGCTCTCTTTTCTAGTGTCACTTGAGAGGCTTCTTCAGGGTCTTCGTATTTGAGCTACGCTTTCATAGCCTTTGTGCTCTTGTGTCTTTTATTGTAAAGCAGAAGGCTGTATTGCAGGTACACTTGGTTTTTGAGCTGCTTCTACTGGCCAATGTGTGGTTAGAGCTTGCGTCTGCTTCCCCGCCCCCATTCGTAGATTGATGGCGTCTAGTATTTGCTCTGCCTCTGTTGTGTGTGTGTTTATGCCAACTAAATGAATGTACTCTAGTAAACAAATCCATTTGAGTTTGAAACCACTGACATGCAAAGACTAATTTCGCTGCAACGTACTAGCATGATTTATTTATTTGTGTGTGTGTGTGTGTGTGTGTGTGTGTGTGTGTGTGTGTGTGTGTGTGTGTGTGTGGTATGTATATGTATGTATATGTATCTATCTATCTATCTATCTCTCTCTCTCTCTCTCTCTCTCTCTCTCTCTCTCTCTCTCTCTCTC